ACCCACTGAAAGAGGCAGACCATAGTGGGTCAACACCCTACTGTCCAAAAGATGCCTGGCTTGTGGCAGGCAGTAGTTGAAGAGAATACAGTGAATCCTCCCCACCATTGAAGAGAACTTGTGGTGTCCAACTCCATGCCAATTGAGTATTGACTTATAACCTGTAAAATGCTATCTTTCATGTTGTGCTCTCATTAGGTGAAACTGGAGTGACCTCTCCAGGGTGCAGGCCTGGGCAATGGCATATGGAGGCTATGCACTGCCCAGATCACTCTGTATTTTCTGTCTGGATTTACTTTGATAGCCTTTTCCATTTTTGGATATGACCACAAAGCAGCAGAGGTTGAAAATCAAGGTTTTCCTTCCTCTAGATGGACTGCCTTCCTGGGCTGAAAAGCTCCATCTGTCCATCATCTTCAATGGCTGGGTCACATACATTAAATAAATAACAGCCATATACCAAAAGATATACTGTATGATGGGCTGGCCACAAGACACCATCAAGTAGGCTGCCTACACTATGTTTCAAGGATGTATGCAGGAGGGACCTGAAATGCACAGGCATCGACTCTGGTAGGTGGAAGCAGCTAGCAGACAGTCGTAATCATAAAGGCCAGGAAAAGCCAAAACCAACTGTTGGAGATCAGAAGACAATGAAAGCAGCAGAGAGAGCAGACCTCCATTGCAGCTTTGTCTATCACACCTGCAGAAGAGTATCATGCAAAGACTGATCTGTTAAGCTACTCCAAACGCTGCTCACAAAAAGACTGTGTTTGACCAAAGAGGGTGCTACCATTATCTCATGAGATGCCTATTACTTATATATATATATATATATATATATATATATATATATATATATATATATATATATATATAAAATATCACATTCATAAATTTATTTTAAAAAATAAAGTATTAGGAAATCAATTCACCGAAATCACTTGAAGCACTTGAAGTTACCAAAAGACTGAAACCAAGGTAGCGGAAATCCATACTTAAAAGCTCTGTGTGTTAAATACTTATCTTTTTATATGTGTATTGAGAACTTTTAATACTAATGTTTCTTGGTCTAATTCAACTCTGACCATTAACTTATATATATATATATATATATATATATATATAGTTAAATTCCCAGATGAATTCTGTGGACAAGACAGATTGGTATCAAATGACAAGATTTTTTTCCAATTGTCATTTGATACCATATATATATATATATATATATATATTTAGTCAGTATCACTCCAAGCAGGGCAGTGTGGCCACAAGCACGCAAAGGGTTACAGAGTAGGGAGGAATTATGAACAGAAACATTAGTAATGAAGAAGAAAGAGAAAAGAGCAATTCATATAGTCTAGATACAATAATGAAGAGGACATCTGAATAATTATCATGAAACCATTTATAAAAAAAGGTACAGAGAGGCAACCTTACAATGGTGGAAAAGTGACTGAAGCTGAACTGCCAGATCGGGACCAATAATATTGCTGATTCTTCTTTGGATCTTATCAAGGAGCTCCAGGTAAATAGCAGGGGCACGGGACCATATATGGCAGAAATATTTCAAACATCGACCAATGGTAGACTTAAAATTAATAAAATTGATATAATTAAATCTTCTTTATATGGACACAAGAAGAGAACAGTCTCCAAGACTTTAAAAATACCTCAACAATCAACAATACCAAGCCATCAAATTCACAATGGAATATTCCACCTCTTCTATTCCATCTCTTCTATTCCATTTCTGAATATACAGGTACATCTAAATAATAACCACATTTCCACTACACTATACACCAAACCCACAAATGGTCATTGTTACCTAAATTTTAATAGCTGTTACTCCACCATCTAATACAATCAATAATCTACAGCCAATATTTACACATAAAGCATATCTGTTCACAAAATGGGGATTACAAAAATACATAGGACAACAATTTAGTTACATTCTTAAGAGGAATTACCCACTTAAAACTATCAAAAAAATCAATTATTAAGGCTTCCAAACAAAATAGAAATATTCTTCTAAATGCTGAAACAAAAAAAAGAATAATTCCAGAATTCTCATGTTTTTTTTTGTTTGTTTTTTTTTTTTTTAAATTTTAATTGCAACATTCACAAGTTTTCTCATATCTTAACAAGAGATTTCCTGTATATAAAGCTCGACCAAACAATTAGAAAAAATATTCACTGAGGACTCATTTCACACTAGGTGGCAGCCACCCAATCTATACATACTCTCTACATCATCCGGCATACATGATTCACCACCATACCAATGGAATATCACCTGCAATAAACCTTGATGTCAAGTCTGTAGGCATATCATCACTGATAGCAATTTCACCCCTACCACTCATGCAGTATTCAAACCACTGGCTCCAAATTATGACAGTTCAACTCTTATTTATTATGTTGGAGAAACTGAAATGGAATTCTGTAATTGGTTCAATAACCATAAAAAGCCATCATGGATAACAACAATTTTTCCTGTCACTGCAACCAACCATTTCACAGATGACATTAGGTGCGTGCTTTTAGTGTTTTCGTTTAACAACTGACAAGAAAGATGTAGATCAGTGTTGAAATTTATTTTCAAAATAATTCACACATTGAGAGATTAAACAGGGATCTGGGTTTACTCAGGGAGAATAATTTCCGCAGGGAGACCTAATCAACAACAACATTCCTCAGAAGAGTAAGTCCCACTTCTTTGTGTATTCCTTGTATCATTGAAAAAGAATACAGATATGTTTGAAAATTCTAATGCTAAAATCTTTCTCTTCATGCTTCAATTTAGTCAAAAGGTTAATATATAATAAATATCAGTTTTATTGTCAATATTGATATTTTGTTGGCTTTTTATTCTTCAAATTTTATTAACTGGCCTATTAAATCTACATACATACATACATACATACATACATACATATTTTTTTTTTTTTTGCAAGCATGTTTGCTTTAATAATCTACACATATTATCTCTATTTACTATTTTAATCCTCTCAAATTCACAGATCAGTTTCTTAGTGCTGTTACAAAACTGAGTAAGAAAGACACTGCAGTTTTGGTTATTTTTTTATTTTGCCAAGTACTTTAATCACATCCAAGATCATCTTCAGGGGTGAATTGCTAAGATAAAAAATTAATGTAATTGATACTTTTCTAATTTTTTTTTTGTAAATGCGCAATTTTTTTAAAAAAAATGTTGTGCAATAGAACTAGAATCTGACATATGTAAAGTAAACCTTAATAATAATGTCATTGTGAAACCAACATATATTTGTTTTTGTCGGAGGTATAATCTCCCAAAAGACAAATTGATATACAATGTTGGTCTTTTGCAAAACATTAATTGACGGAGAAGAATTATTAATTAAGAATTATTAAGTTGGTTGTATTAAATTTAGTATAGTATATAATTAGTTTGTTTTTTTGTTTTTTTTTTTTTTACTGGGATCAGTTGGGCATATATTAGATACTTATAAGTTTTTTGGGGTGGGGATTTTTTAAATGTTTGTAGTTGGAGCATATTTGATTGCAGTATAGTAGGTTGATATGTTTAGGGTTATTTGAGGAAGTATTATGTTCTTTTTGGTTTATGTTAATATTTCTCATAGATTGCCTAATTTGTTCACCAACAAAGTAATTAAGAAAGTCATTATTAATGTCAGCTTGTGGTATGCCATATACATCACTGTTGCCCCTGTTGAAATGCATTACTTACCTCCTAACTGTGCTTACATCCACTGTTCAATCTCTATCAGCATTCAACAAGGTGCAATCATGAATGTTAGCAGGTTCAATGATTTTTTATATAAGGAATTCAAATTGTGATACACTTCCAATTTTATGCACTTTTATATTAGATGTCATTTTTTTTTGTCAGACTTCTAATCAGTTGCTATCTGTAAAAAATCAAAAGAAAAAAGGTTATTGGTAGAAAGGTTTGACCTTTACTGCTAATACCACCAACATCCACATCTGATATTGTGGGCTAATATAATAAAATGGGAACAATACCTTTGGAATGACTCTTGTGTGTGTACTAGCTCAAGTACCTCTTTTTGCTAGGTAAGGACTCAAGATTTAGATTGTAGCACCTTATAATGACAGTAAAACTATTTCTAATTTTATATATGCAACTCTATTTTGATATTCTTTTGTATATTGGTACCAAGTTTCCCTTTGTCCATTGATTTCACAAAATGATAGTTATCTTTTCTTTAATTAAATTCTGCAGAGAAAGTCAAACCTGTTCATTGAAGTAGAAAATTTTTTTTTTATCATTTCACACCAAGCAAGGCAAAGAGCCACTAAGATGCAAAGGATTACTGAGTGTGAAAGAATACGAGAAAAAGAAAATAAAAGAACATGAATTAAGAAAACAGAAGATAATGATTGTCATTGCAGCTAAATTTTTGATTTAAGCTGAATAGATAGAAAGAAGCCAGAAGAGAGTTCCACAAGTGAGAAGTGCAAGAGAAGAAACCCTTAGCATATATTATATATGTGTGTGTGTTTTTCATTATTTAATTAATACTAACTAAAACAATATGTCTAACACATTGTTGGTATGCATAATAGAGATTTATAAAAATCTATTTGCTATTTTCATAAAATTCATAGATCATCTCAAATCAGATATCTTTCTTACTGGTTTTTCCAAGATGCAATGATACCTTTTGGTATATAACAGTAATCATTTCTGGCTAAAGTAACAATTTTAAAACATGCTTCAGTACATCAAATGTGTTTCTGAATAAAATTGGTTTGTAAAGTTGTAGATTTAAATTACTAACATAGTTATATTTATGTTTTCTGTACCTGTTTACTTCATTGAAATGGTCATAATTTTATAGTAAAACTAATATTACTTGATTGGAAATTTATAAGTAATTATTAGGATTTGATTACTAAATTTTGAGTTTGTAAAGTGACTTGGTATCCCAATTTTAAAATTTATCTTTTGTTTTGTTTTTTTCCAGTCAGAAGATCAGTTGCCATGTCACATCACATACACAAATGAGAAAGTTGCCAAAATAGCCATGGATACTCTACACCTTAACAAGCATGTCAGGGAAGAAATATCAGGTCCAAGGTAAATATGAAATTTTTTTCTTTATTTCACTATAGAAAAAAAAAACACCAAATAGTTATCTTTTAATAACAAGTAGCTAGCTATTATTATATTTTCAGTACTAATGAATTCTGATTATTTTAAACATTTTAGTAGTTTACTATCAACTTGTCATTTTTTCTGTTTTATTGTTTGTATATACAATCAAGCCATTTTTAAACACTAAATTTTCACTGCATGTGCAAAAGAAGAAAAATGATTTTTTTCAGGTTAGTTTGAACAAATGTTTCAAAAGTGGATATATGCTAATACGTACTAAAAGTAATTTCAATGATTGTTTGCATGTAGACTGTTTTATTAGTGTATCATTTTTTAAACTTTCTTGCTTTTCATTCTATATTTTTAGTGTTTTTTTTATTTCATTAGTTGATGGAAAACATGATTATTACTGAAATAAAGACTGCTTTTTAACAACAGGTTCCAAAAAATCTTTATATGAAATAAATTCTTGTATAAACATTGATTCTTTTCTCATAAAATTTTTTTTAATGAACTTTTTATTTAGTTATATTTATTTTCCTTTTAGTCAATTAAGAGTAAAGTTGTTTTTAATAATTTTAAAGAAAATAATTTGTATATTTCAAAAATACCCAAAAGATTACATTGAAAGAAACTTACATCTGTCTATATTTGTTGATGTCTAATAAAAAGTTAATTGTTTACCACTTAATATATTTTGCATAAGAGGGTGCTAAAACGTTGTTTACCTGACCAAGAATCTTTTTCAAAAAGTAAATATATTTGGTCAGATTTTGGGAAGTGAGTCAGGCCAAGAACATTTCAGCACCCACCCATATATAAAGTTTTGTTTCAATTGCTAAATCACTGTGGAAAGTTTTTGAATTTTCACTGAGGAAAGCTAGGAAGAAAAGCAAGTCCCTAAGGAGTAAATAAAAGTGGATCACTGCTATAAAATGTCATTGATATGCTTTGAGATAAACAGTTTTGTTAAATGGTTGACCCATATGATTAAAAAACTAAATAATATAGCATGAGATTCAAAAAAAAATAAAGCTTGATATTTTAAGTATAAAATCAAATATTTTTATCACTTTGGCATTGTGCTGGAGGTGGGGCTAAAAATGAAGGAAATAATTTAATCATGTTGTCACTTGTATTTGGTATACAAGAATACTTAGCACTGGCGTTGTCCTTTTCCATACTGGCATGTGATGCACATGTGTGCCAGCCTATATGCAAATGTGCAATAAGATTCACATGTGTTGTGTGGCAGTAAACATGTTAATGATGCACTCTGTATAATGTCCATTCTTGTTCTCCTTGCAAATATTTTGTGTTATGCAAATAGATTACAATATTTAATTTCTCACTTTGAGAAGAATCATTAACATTCCAAATTTTGTTTGGATAATTGAACCCTTTTGTATTTTTGATGTCATTATCAAAATGGAGGGAAAGTATAGCATTGGTGCAAGCAAAAAAAGACAATACATACACAATTATCTCCAAATGTTGATTCTGATCAGAATGGATAAATTCATTGTGCTCTACACAGAATTATTCCATCAAGTTGAAATAATTAGTTGTTATATTAAAGGGTTTTACTATCTAGTCTTCATTGTTTCTCATATAGTGAGGGTCTTCCTCTTGTTTCCTATCACTAACTATACAGCTATAGCAAACATTCCATATGTAAGAGACAATGTGGAACAGACTCAGAAGTTTGTTACACCATTGGGTGAGTTTTCAATAATAAAACTACCCTTCATAGACTAGAGTTGACCCATTAAGAATTTGACAAAGTTAGCATCTATAACTATCTATTCAAAGTTAGAAAAGGTATATGAAGTGGGGAAACCAGTTGCTCCTTTAAAGTCAGATAAAGAAATATGAGAAACTTCTCTAAACAGGAAGTAAAAAAAAATCTGAGATGTAGAGAGAAGAGGACACGTATTGCTCTCTAGGATGTGATATATACAGCAATTGACAGCACTGTTGTAGAGTGAGAAAATTGAAAGGTGCAGCATATATCAGCTTGTCAGCCAAGCGTGTAAATGAAAGTAGTATTGATTTTAAATTTTTTTTTTTTTTTAATACAAAAAAAAATGTGTTAGGAAACTTGCAAGTATCAAATGAAATCAGCTGGGTATAGGGTGGTGATTATGGTTTTATTACTGAAGTGAAATTCTTTTGGCATATTATCAACTATTTTTATGTTGCCATTTCTTGAAATTGATGTCTAGCCTGGTGATGGATGACTGCTTGAGAATACCAGATGATGTAAGCTTGGATGTGCTGGTGGTGTAATGGATAATGGCTTAGAATTGTTAATCAGAGAATCTGAGCTGCAATTCCCATTTTGTTCAGTATATTCATTTATGTACAAATACCATTGTGAAAGCTTAGGCCTCTGCCTTTTCTCTCCTCAACTATGAATTAATAAGTAAGACGTGTATCATTAAACAATTATCTCAAAGAAAAAAAATTCTGACAATCTAAAATATTTAATAGCTTTAAATAACCTGCAAAAGGTTGATAATCAGTAGAAAACACACACATATATATATATATATGGTGTGTATGTGTAAAAATTCTGATATAGCTAAAAATATATCTTTAAAAAGACAATATGAATAAAGACAAAAGAAAAATTATCTTTGCTGATACATTTACTCACTCTAGCTTATTAAGCATTAAATTACATCAATTAGCGTCTTCTGTAGTTTACCTTGACTTTCAGTTAGCCTGTAGTATACTTATGACTATTCTTAAATTTAGAAAAAAAATCACAGCATTTTTACTTCAGTTTATAACAATTTGTTCCTAAATAAAATTCTTACATTTGCTTAAAGTCCATCCGAGGATAAAACACATCAGAAAAGATAAGTTTTTCTTTATTTTTATATATATATATATATATATATATATATATATATATATATATAAAAACAATTGTAACCAAAACATGTTATAAGCCACTACATGAATGCATGAAGGTGGTGGTGCACAACTAGAGAATAGACAGTTATTTTATGGTTTTAAAGCAGCAATACATTCAACAGGGGTGGGTAAATTTCTACTATACTGGGTGGGGGGATGACCTTGATTAACTAACCAAACATTAGGCTTATGATGGGTTTGAAGTTGACTTCCGTGTTGGATTATTTACAATCAGATTTATTGGTAGCTTTCATCCAGATAGTTTACATTTTTATGCTAATATACCGAGTTAAACCAATGAATATTATGAAATTGGCACCCAATTAACAAGGTAAGACACTAAATAACTAATATATATATATATGTGTGTGTGTGTGTGTGTATATATATATATATATATATATATACGCACACACATCTCATAATTTTCTTAGGGACAAAGAACTTTATTTTGGAAATAAAAATGGCAAGACCGACTTTTCATGATTTTAAAAATAAACAAAAAAAAAGCCGACCAGTTTAATTCTTACTCAACAGAGCTGGAATCGAGGGAATAAATGTCATAATATAAAATATGAAATACATGAAATGTATTAAAGGTGGAACAATCAGATTCAAATAATGTCAAGCCATAAGTGATATTGCCTCTGTTTATAGAAACAGAGCTGTCTGCACCTGACGTAGATTGTTTCTAATGCCTTTAAATATAAGAAAGAGTGAACATGACTAAGGATGGTAAAAGAGTTGGTGCTGAAATTGGTTGTACAATTTGGATTATTTATAAAATGTTCAATGATGGCAGAACCATATGTGGTATTGACCACCTCACCCAATTGGAATGTACCATTCCTAATTTTCCTAGGTACATGCTGATGTATTCTCATGTCTAGCTGTATGGTAGTTCTACCTATGTATTCGGCTCCACAACTACATCTGAATTGATAAATCACATTGTTAATATCGTGGTGGGGTAGAACGTCCTTTTGAGTAGACATCCATGCAGACCTGGTAGAAAAGACAATGCGTACATTGGCCAAAAAATAACAATTTTCAACTACAGAGTTAATCTGTTTGGCAAATTTTCCACATTGTACCTAAGCAAGGCAAACGCAAATAAATAGGGCACTTAGTAGCCATACTCGGGTTAAGTTTATAAAAATTAGAGATTTTCTGACTTAATTACATTCAATGGGTACCCATTATTAGCTAAAGTTTTGGAATTTGTTTTTAACTGTTCATCTAATTAAGATTTTGAGCAAATCAATAGAGCTCTGTGTGTTAGGGTACTAATTAAATTTTCTTTACGTTTGTTGGAACAGAATGCATTCCAATGAATGTATAATCTGGTAAAGGTTGGATTGTGGTAAATTGATGTAATGTTGTAACCAGATGGAGTTCTAGTTAACCAAAACACCCCAAAAAGATAAAGTGGAATTGGTTTCAATTGCTGGATGTCTATCTTTAAGTAAAGAAAAAAAAAATTTGCCTTCATTACATGCTTACTGATAAATCGACCATGGTCAGAATGCAAATGTTCTAACCACTTGGCCATGTGCCCATATGGTATTATATATATATATATATATATAATGTGTGTTTACTAGGTTTTAGGTTAGTATAGGGCAATAGTATTAAAATTGGAGATCCAATGAGGTTGAAAATCATTAGCAATAATCTGTCAGTCTAACATACTAACCAGATGCCTTGTAGTGATAGTTTTTAATGAATAAAGACTACATAGAGATTTATATAGATGTGTGATTAAATAGCATGAATTTCTTAAGGAAACTATGTAGCATATCTATTTACTTGAGATGTGTGAAAATCTGTATAGTAGCCTCATTCTATCACTGCCAAGATTTAATTCTGACCAACCAAAATTTCAGTAACTGCAACATTGTAAAAACACTTCAGGTAGGAACTGGATACAAGCTCTTTTATTTATTTATTGGAATGAACAGTTACAATGGAAGTATGGCCAAGAAAATAATGCTACAAAGTCTAGATTTCCTTGTGTAAATTGATACAATGAATGTAGTCCAAAGCAATAAAGAACAGGTGTTA